TCATTGTTACGTGTTTTGGGCCTTTTTGATGTGTTCTGTGGCATTGTTATGTGTTCTGTGTCATTGTTATGTGTTCTGTGTTATTGTGTTCTGTGTCATTGTTTTGAGTTCTGAGTCAGTGTTATGTGTTCTGTGTCATTAGAATGTGTTCTGTGTCATTAGTATGTCTTCTGTGTCATTAGTATGTGTTCTGTGTCATTGTTACATGTTCTGTGTCATTAGTACGTGTTCTGTTTCATTAGTATGTGTTCTGTGTCATTGTTATGTGTTCTTTGTCATAAGTATTTGTTCTGTGTCATTGTTACCTGTTCTGTGTCATTGTTACGTGTTCTGTGTCATTGTTATGTGTTCTGTGGCATTGTTATGTGTTCTATGTCATTGTTATGTGTTCTGTGTTATTGTGTTCTGTGTCATTGTTTTGAGTTCTGAGTCAGTGTTATGTGTTCTGTGTCATTAGTATGTGTTCTGTGTCATTAGTATGTCTTCTGTGTCATTAGTATGTGTTCTGTGTCATTGTTACATGTTCTGTGTCATTAGTACGTGTTCTGTGTCATTAGTATGTGTTCTGTGTCATTGTTATGTGTTTTGTGTCATTAGTATGTGTTCTGTGTCATTGTTATGTTTTCTGTGTCTTTAGTATGTGTTCTTTGTCATTAGTATTTGCTCTGTGTCATTGTTACCTGTTCTGTGTCATTGTTATGTGTTCTGTGTCATTAGTACGTGTTCTGTGTCATTAGTATGTGTTCTGTGTCAATGCTATGTGTTCTGTGTCATTGTTATGTGTTCTATGTCATTGTGTTCTGTGTCATTGGTATGTGTTCTGTGTCATTGTTATGTGTTCTGTGTCATTAGTATGTGTTCTTTGTCATTAGTATGTGTTCTGTGTCATTGTTACATGTTCTGTGTCATTGTTATGTGTTCTGTGTCATTGTTATGTGTTTTTTGTCATTGTTATGTGTTCTGTGTTATTGTGTTCTGTGTCATTGTTTTGAGTTCTGAGTCAGTGTTATGTGTTCTGTGTCATTAGTATGTGTTCTGAGTCATTAGTTTGTCTTCTGTGTCATTAGTATGTGTTCTGTGTCATTGTTACATGTTCTGTGTCATTAGTACGTGTTCTGTGTCATTAGTATGTGTTCTGTGTCATTGTTATGTGTTTTGTGTCATTAGTATGTGTTCTGTGTCATTGTTATGTGTTCTGTGTCTTTAGTATGTGTTCTTTGTCATTAGTATGTGTTCTTTGTCATTAGTATGTGTTCTGTGTCAATGTTAGGTGAAAAAAAATTCACTAAATTTCCAAAGAAGTGTGAACATAGGTCAAAAGTGTGAAAAATATTGATTACTTAATACATGTACATGAAAATGAACATTTAACATCTAATACTATACACACTAAATCTTCACCTAAAAGATTCTTATTTTCAAATATTCTCATTTTGGAGGTTTAAACAAAAAAATATTTGAAGTAAAGAGAATGTGTTTTTCACTGAGGCCATTGAAATGAAGTTATCTTATTAATGTTGTTAGGGCTTTAGACTGTGTAGGTGGTTATAACCTCCTATACACACAACCAACCCTTGCTGTTGACATTATTTGATTGTGTACTTGTTATTGCATGACTTACTACAGTTTCATTGTCACTGTTGCTAAGTTACGCACCAAATTTTGTACATTTTACCTGAATATTTATATTTCAAGTTTGTTCTGATGACCACACGACTAAGTCTACGTCTTGATTAAAGCCAAACAGCCCAACCTGACCCTGTCATTCGTATCTTTACCTATTGATAATCTTATTTCTGTTTTTCGTGACTTTGTTTAATCCTTGGAAAACAATTTAAAATAGAACACACTGAAAATATCAATCTCTACACTACATAATGAAAACAAAGCTTTGTGCAGTCGTAATTTACCACCACAATGACCTTACCACTAAAAAGTGTAATACAAGACTGTCACCAATACACGTAAAGAAGAATGTAAATGTACAAGGATGTCACTCACAAAAAGTTTACCTCTTAAGGTTTATGAAAAAAAATTATAAATAATTCTAGATTTAGCATGACATCTGGTCAGTTAATGAAAATATTTTGTAAAAATATAACCATGATATACCATCCACAATTATGTTTTATTTGCACATCCATTTGATCCCAACACAACAGGAATTTATCATGATCCTGAAAGGTCAGTTGATTTGGAATGTTACTGGCATTATGAATCCTTGTTCTGGTACAGCGTGCAATACCTACATTACGTGACATTTATAATATGTATACATATGAAGTAATAGCAACAGTATGGACAAGTGAATTGTCAAATTTTCGAGACAATCTGCCTCTTTATCAAGACACATACATAGAACCTAAAACAAATACAAAGTTTGCTAGTCTGTACTGTTGCTAATACTTAATTGATCATATATCTATCCCAGTAATACACATCCAACGAACCTTTGTTTGTTAGGATCCAGTACCAATATTGGACCATACCGTTGATATAACATGCTATATTACATATATATTATGATCAATATATATATATACATGTTAGTCAGTTATTTATAAATTAGAAACATTATGATTTAATAGCTGTAACCATGGTATTTAACCTATAACCTACAGATGTACATCCTAAAGCCAAATGACCTACAGACTGACAAATACAAATATAAAATAAAACTTGATATTCAATCTTCCATATTTTCAAAAACACTCATACATTTAGAACCAGAAGAGTACATATTTACTTATCTATAATCATTTAATAAATTTGTATACTTAAAAATATTCTTTAATTTAACTTCTAAATTTTAAGAATTTTGTCCTTAAGGTTTTGTAAATCTTTCACATATTTTCAAAAACACTCCTACATTTATAACAAGAAGAGTACACATATACCTTTTTATAATCATTTGATAAGATTTTATACTTAAAGATATTTTCAAATTGAAGTTATTTTTGTCTAATGTCTTTAAGGTTTTGCAAATCTTAAACATCTGGAAAATGTAAACATGTATAAACCACCACCATATTTTGTCTACGTATGTCTACGGCTGGTAATTATGTATTGTCTACAAGTGCCCTGTAGTACTGGAGTCTATGTGTTCCACAGAACACATATCTAAATCTCTTACCATGGATACTAAGTTCCTTTTGGTATATAATACCAATAAACAGCTACACCTGAAATTGTACAGTGGAACTCACTTAATGTCATGTCTGTTCATGTCTTTTTCCAGTTAATATCGTTTTCTTGAACCAATCAATTGATTGATTGCTTCCTTGTTCACATCTGTAAGACTGTCCAGCAGCAGCATTGAAGGGTTAACGTCTTGTTAAATCCATCTAGCTTACTGTTTCCAAATATATTATCACAAAATCCTGGACACACAGCTTTTTGGCAGAAATGAGTTGACTGATGTAAAAGGTGTTAACAATAACATGAAGAAATAGCTAGGGTAGACAAACATAAAAAGGAGACAAGGGTTACACAGAAAGATATCTAGGGTAACACACAAAGATGTCTAGGGTAACACAGAAAGATGTCTAGGGTTACACAGAAAGATATCTAGGGCAACACATAAAGATATCTAGGGTAACACAGAAATATGTCTAGGGTAACAAAGAAAGATATCTAGGGTAACACACAAAGATATATACGGTAACACAGAAAGATATCTAGGGTAACACAGAAAGATATCTATGGTTACACACAAAGATGTCTAGGGTAACACAGAAAGATGTCTTGGGTAACACAGAAAGATATCTAGGGTAACACAGGAAGATATTTATGGTAACTCAGAAAGATATCTAGGGCAACACAGAAAGATATCTTGGGTAACACAGAAAGATATCTAGGGTAACATAGAAAGATGTCTTGGGTAACACAGAAAGATATCTAGGGTAACACAGAAAGATGTCTAGGGTAACACAGAAAGATATTTAGGGTAACACAGAAAGATGTCTAGGGTTACACAGAATGATATCTAGGGCAACACATATAGATATCTAGGGTAACACAGAAATATGTCTAGGGTAACAAAGAAAGATATCTAGGGTAACACAGAAAGATATCTAGGGTAACACAGAAAGATATCTAGGGTAACACAGAAAGATATCTATGGTAACACACAAAGATATCTAGGGTAACACAGAAAGATGTCTTGGGTAACACAGAAAGATATATACGGTAACACAGAAAGATATCTAGGGTAACACAGAAAGATATCTATGGTAACACACAAAGATGTCTAGGGTAACACAGAAAGATGTCTTGGGTAACACAGAAAGATATCTAGGGTAACACAGAAAGATATCTAGGGTAACACAGAAAGATGTCTAGGGTAACACAGAAAGATGTCTCGGGTAACCCAGAAAGATATCTAGGGTAACATAAAAAGATATCTAGGGTTACACAGAAAGATGTCTAGGGTTACACAGAAAAATATCTAGGTAACATAGAGATTATAGGATTACAGAGAAGGACTTAGGGCAAGACAAAATGACAACAAGATTTTATCTCAACATAGAGACAACTATAAATATGTTAGTTGTTGACAAACATTGGACTTCACAGTAAGGCCAAAGCTGACAAAATTCAAGTGTGAACCTTGTTAGTAAATAAAACCATTAGAAAGTAAATTTAAAAGGAGTAGGAATAAACTTGCTTTAACACAAGAAAAAGAGAAAGAAAAAAGCAAATGAAATCCTTAACTAGTCATTATTCAGAAGTTACTCATCCAGTTTTATCAAAAAAGAGTGCAAGTGGTTATGATATAAAGAAGTAAATCTTGAAAGATGATTTTGTAACTCTGGACACAGGATCACAAAGAAATCAGCACAAAGATAAACTTCTAGTGAAAAAGTGACCCATGCTTTTTATCAGTCTTATTATAAGGAAAAGGATTTAGCTTCAACAATAAAGAGGACCTAAAGAGCTGACAGAAAGGCAGTCTCCATCTGGTTTAGATCAGGACGATAATTCAAACGATTTCCACATACCTTTTTGCCATTGACTTCTTTCTCTGGAAAACTTGGTATGTAGTGTTGTATAGGTTTGTCTAGTTCCAGTGTACCAGCTTCGAGCTGTTTAGCAACAGCTACCATGGTGATAGATTTACTGATACTAGCAATTCTTAGAACGGTGTCAGCTGAGCAAGGCACACGATTCTCCACATCAGCATAACCAAGACCTGTAGTAAAGAACACAGCTTGAAATAGTTTCAAACCTTTGGAATGAATTTTGACAAAATCAAATGCTCAGTGTACAGCACTTAGGGCTAATACAACTCTACTTGTCTCTATACTGTTAAAAAACAAGCACAACTATATGATCCTGTAAACAAATACAAAAGGAACTGAGTTTCATTATCAAGATCAAATTGACTGGCTTTGATTTTTGTGCATCTCCTTAATTTACATGTTTACAAAATCAGAGTTATCAGCTAATGCATATTTTAAACAATTTATTTTGTGGAAATTATATCAGTTCAAAGCTAAGCACATGTATGGGTGATGATTACATACGGATTAGCTCTCTTTTCATCAGTGGAGAAAGCTTAAGTAAGTTTCAAATGAAATTGAGAAATTATATATAAAGAACTTGATTCTTTTTTAAAAGCAACCTTCCTGTTGACACTGACAGAGTTACCATACCTTCAGACCTCCTTCCTGTTGACACTGACAGAGCTACCATACCTTCAGACCTCCTTCCTGTTGACACTGACAGAGTTACCATACCTTCAGACTTCCTACCTGTTGACACTGACAGAGTTACCATACCTTCTGACTTCCTACCTGTTGACACTGACAGAGTTACCATACCTTCATTCCAGACTTCTTTCCCATTGACACTGACGGAGACTGCTAGACCTGGACTGCCTGATTCATCCTAGAAAACAAACAATACTAAATCTGTAACGGTAAGGCATAATGAAAAACACTTGCCATCATTGGGGCATGAAGTAGCGACCCTTCCATCTAGATCTCTAATCAGGCAATTTTCTGCTGCAGTAAAGGAAAACTCTCACTAGCCAAGCCTAGTGAGGCGACCTGTGTTTCTCAAATGTTTGCAATTACCTTGATCCTTTTTGCGAGGTCTCTAGATCTGATGATGGCTTCCTCAATTGTTAAAGAGTGACTTTCTCGTTCCAAGCCTGTGATTTTGTCCTCTAGATCATCTTGTTTTCGATCGTCACAATTGCATACTTGTCTTTTCAGTTTGTACCATCCAAAACCCAAACTAACTGCAATCCCTGTCACTAAACCTAGTGCATATTTCACCCTGGACGATTTATTGTTTAATTTCGATCTACCTGTATAATTATGTTGATAATATCTTCTGGAAACAGGAACACACGGTATAATGGTTTGTCTTTGATGATTTGGTACAAATCTAATGAATGAATTCGACGATGAACTCTGACCTGTGTTTTGTATACGGAAAAGGAAAGTAGCACACCTCACATTTTTTCCAGAATCTCCCATTGATGGTTTTATACTTTTCTTAGTAAGACTCTTTATACACGGTGCCATTGTCCGTTGCAATGAAAACGTCGAAAATGGTTTCATTGCAGAAAAAGCTGAACGCTGAAATTTCACACCAAGCATGTTTGGTTTACGCAAGGGTGATAACTCTTTGCAGTCTCCCTTACCTAGGTCTTCATAATGCAAAGCAGTTTTATTATTGTCCAGTACAAAATTAAAACAGTAATTTGTTGACATTTCAACGTTTCTGTTGGATTTTGGCTTTCTAAAATGAACAAACAAAATTAAATAAAAATAATTTAATAAGTACACAATTACAAGCGTTTGTCCGACGTTGATAGAAAACAAGATGACGGATGTTATAGATGTAAACATCAAACATCTACCTGAAAATATCCTACTAGAGATACTTTCCTATCTCTCTGTGAAGGATTTGTGTCGAGCAGGAAGGTAAAGTACATTTAATAATGACATAACATCCGACCCAAACAATTATAAATGTCATGTTCGTAATTACACTATTACTGTACAAAGGCTTACCAAAACTAACCAGTAGGTGTAGAGGCAGGGGCGTATGATACAGATGGATGTGTATATAAAATACAAGGTCCAGTGGTGAATTCACTGGCATTAGCTACTGCGTTTGTTGACTGAGCCGTTAAGTCCTCTCTTTTTACTGTTGTTATATTTTTTTTAACTGTGCATTTAAACTGACATACAAATGTACCATCCTCAATTGTATACCACTTTCTGTCAGAAATATGGAGACAATCATCTTTAAATTGATGGTAATAAAAAGCTGAGTAATATTCTGATTGACTCATGTAAATCTCATTTATCAGTATAATTTTTTTTTGCAAACATGAGTTTCACTCGCCACACTAACTTCATTTGTACATCATAGCTCAGTTGTAAATAGCTTAAACATGCATTTTATTTCATAAATATCAAAACCTGATACAAATTATTTGTCTCAAAAGTTTGCACAATCGTTTTGAAGTTGATTAAGCTTTCTAATACTGTCCATTTTGAAAATATTAGTAGTGAACTTTTGAAAAAAAAAAATGGTTTATAAAAACAGCAAGTGTAACTGACTCAAAATTCTTGGCTACAGTGTTACAAAGTGATGCAGTCAGTACCGAGCTCTATTAAACATCATGGTTTAAGCTTACATCTGTACATATACAACCACATAGGCATGTGTCTGGCCTTCCTAGCTTGTATCTATAAGGAATCTTCCACATGTGTGTGGGTTCAACAATGGTCAAATATATATAGAACTGTGTAAAAGTATATTGGTACATACAATTTTATGTACAGTAGCCTGCTGGTGAAATAATTTTTTTCCCAAAAAGTAATAATCTTCGTAATTTTTTATTGTTTTGGGAACTCAAACATTTGTAATTTTAGAGTAAACATGTATTCCACCTGATTTGCAATGTAGGATATTGTACAGTATCTTGATATTACCAGATCTATTCTGTTATATTACGATCTTCCTCAAAATCATATGTAGATTATTAAATAGCATACCGGATTGGTTTCTGTTATTTGACGACAAGTCAATATTAATATAATGCACATCGTGAGATTGGGAGGTTGCCCTTAAAATAAGATTTTACCAAGCAGGATCTCTGAAATTGAGAGATTATCCCAAGTTTGATCCATACAATCGGGAGGTGGGTCTGGGGAGTGAAAATTGGGAAACTCCCAACAGAATTGGGAAAGTTGGTAGGATGTTAAACAATTGTAACCAAACCCTTGTGGTGCCCATTTGATTCTGTTACTGATTTGACAGTTTAAGATTACTATTGCTTTTGCTTGAGAGAAATTTTCTATCTGACTTTTAAAGAATAATAATGAAGATCAAACAATGGTGGGTGCCAAGATCCCTTTTTAAGAGTTGGTTAATTTGTGAGTTTCACAGAGAGGAACACATCTGTTCTGAATCACATCTTTATCTGAACTGCATATTTACAATAAAATGACATCATTAGATATGATTTAAGACAGTTTGTTTGGAATGCTCAACATTTTTCGTGATATTTGGAATAATTACAATTACGATTTATTATTGGAAGAAATCACATTTTAAATAAACATAGAATATAATACAAGTGATAACATCAAAGGATCAAAATAGTTAAAACCTGACATATAATGAATTACTACTACTGGGAATAAAATAACCAGTTTACCTTGTCCTTGAGTGGTGTCATGTTTTGGTGTAACAGTGAGTGTCAAGCTTAGTCTTCAGCACTGCTCGTCTTAGTGGTCTGTGTGATGCTGAAGTGGTAACTTTATAGACTTAATAATGTCAGTTTCCTGGCAACAATCCTGTTGATTTACCACCGATTTTACAAGAGGTCTATTTGTAAAACCATTCACTGATCAAATGTTTGCTGAATGAATCAGACCATCACCACCATATACAAATTACTCTACTTTTGCCTACACATTGTACTTCCAGTGTGTTCAAGGAACATAATTATGTATGTGAAAGTTGTTGGCCTGACAATTACATAAGTTGATGACTGTTTCAGGGTGTGCAGGGCATGGCGTCGTGTAGTAAGAGACAACACACTATGGAGACATGTGGACCTCCTCCCTTACCGCCTTAACCTTCAGAAGATGTGGAAGGTCATCCGTGCTCACTTTTCCGAATGCCTTCTCACAATGAAAGTCCGTGGATTTGTGGAATCAGGTACTGACAAATTATTATTTATAAAAAAATGTTACTTAATTTAAATTTTCAGGATTTTTTTTAATGATTTATATGATAATAAATGTTAAATGTATCCATGTAAGCATTCTATTGGTGAATTTTGAAGTCGAATCATTTAACATAATAGCATTAAGCAGATTCTGCCTGAAAAGTGAAACAGGCAGTAAATTGTGACATTGGGTCATGAAAAACTTTATTGCAGCATGTAGTTACATCCAACACACTCCTGTTGTAATTTCTTTACAAACAGGTGTTTTGTTTTGTGTTGGGTGTACCCCTTGGCCCTTATTCATTGTTGAGAACCTGGTGTGAACAACATTCACCATGGCTGAATGGCAGAGATGAATATCAATTTGTTCAGACCAGGTCCGTAAATTAAGGACAGATTGAAATTAAAATCCACAATTGTTGTATCATGTGACATTTTACAGTGAGATTAGTGTTTTATGTCAGGTACACGTGGCAAGGTCCATTTTTCTGATTACCAAGTTTGTTTTCAAATGAAACACACAATTCCTGATTCAGTTCTTGTGTTGTTTAATTTCTAATAATATTGTTCAGAATTCAGTTGTGTGATTGTACTATTTTGATATCTAATCACTTGAAATTGTAATTGAAATATAAGTTGCATTTTTGCTCAGTATAGAAAGACAAAAGAAGTTCACCACTTTTGTCTTTCTTCACCCACGCCAAAACCCAGGTTATATTTTAAGACACTGACAGTGTGTTCTCTATGCATTTGGACAAAGTACAGTTAACTTAGTGTGTTGTACTTTCTCAGTTAAATCATAAACTCAGAAAAATCCAGAATAAACATATATAGAATTAAGATTATGAATATGTATATATGGACAGAAATAAATAAACTTTTTGTTTGTTTGCTTGTTTTTTGATAAGCTGGACCCAAACAAAAGAAGCCCTCTTTGTCAGATGCAATGTTACTAGACCTTAGAGAGAGATGTCCAAACATCCGCGACCTTCATCTTCATATGTGTAACACTGACAACATTTCTGCTAACAACCTACCCAGATCCCTCACTCGACTTGTACTTCATGGTTGTTCATGGCAACCAAGATGGCTGAAGGGACATGAAGAGAACCTACAGAAAATTGAAGGTTTGGACCTCTCCTGTTGCAGCAGGGTGGACAGTTTTGATATGCAGGATATTGGAAACTGGAAAGGATTGAAGGTATTGAAGTTAAATGGTCTTTACAGATTGAATGAGAAGGGAATCCAGCATGTTGCTACTTCCCTACCACTGCTGGAGAGGCTGGAGTTAAGCTACACACAGTGCACAGAGCTTGCAGTTCATCATATATCACGTCATCTTAAAAATTTATGTCACCTGAACATGTCAAACTGTAGTCTACTAAATGATTCTGCTGTGGAAACTTTGTCTTCAGGGCTCCACAAGCTGGAGTACCTCGATCTTAAATCCAACAGTCAACTTACCATATCTGGGTTGTCGTCACTCAGAGCTTGTAAACGCTTGAGTGTGCTGGTGTTTGACTTAAAAGATGATACAGAAAAGCATATGCTACAGGCAGAACTGCCCAATTGTACAATTGTCAATGGAGATGTTTGAAAAGGTATTGGTAATTTTTTTCTTTTTTAAAGTCACAGGAAATGGCCACAATGATTATAAAATAGAAAAATTCTAAAACTCCATGGAAAAAGGGGAGTCACCAGTAATGGTGATATTTGAAAGTTAACATCAGCCCAGGCTTCAGGGTAATAAACTTTCATTAATTAATGCAAGTTTTTATGCTCTCTGAAATTTATTTTTGGGGGGAAAGTATATAGTTATCGCTTTATTTATATTAGTTATCCTACAATAATGATATCCAGTTTGGTAATAAGCCCACCCACCACCCTTATCCTTTCCTGTTCAGTAACATCATCAACCAAACACTATTTCATTATCTAGTATATTGATTCAACCCTTTATATTTGACAATTTTATAAGTTAAACTGCGTATATCAAAAGAGATAAAACATTTCTGAAATAGATTTGTTCAAACCCAAGAGTCAAAACTGATTTTTTCGAGTCAGAAACATATTGTCTGATTGCATGAATAAGTCCACTTCCTGACTCTGAGCAAGATGTTGTGTTGGTCTCGTGCTTATTGTAGCGATAAATACATGTACATCAGTTTCACTTTAGGAAAACACGATTAGATTGAGTTCAGAATAGATCTCAACAAGATATATATACTCTGTCTTCCTATAACAAAAATCGATCAATTTCTATCAGTTATTGAAAATTGATCAAGGTGAGGGCTGAGGTCTAGAATTTATCTGTTTCCTCCTAAATAGAAATGATAGATAAACAGATAAAACGGAGATTCTGTTCTGAACAGTTTTCCATATTGGACAGAGTAAATGTATATAAATGATTTTTAGAGTAGAATTAAATATTTACTTATTATTATTAGTCAGTTATTATAAAACAGATGTCTTTTAAATAATGAATGGATCAATCAGAAATTTATACTGTAAAGCTGGGAAGTTTTGGTGTTTTTCTAATTTATCAGTCAATTCATATCTCAAAGCAGGAAAATTTCATGATCTGGATGTAAAAGAATATCTTATACACGTGTGTCTCATTATTTGACAAATTAAATTTGTTTGGTCATGTTAATATGATAGAAGTAGTAAAAATATCATCTGCACAAAAATAATAAGGTACACAGTATATGTGTTATCCCGATTACTGGATGTTTATAACCCTTACTGAGTTAAGGGAGGATCCATGTTTTAGTAGTTTATATTCACAACATTGTGTACTAGATATCTTACGATCCACTGAACAGATATAGTACGTATTCTCACCAAAGCATCAAGTCCTACACCTGATTAGATTTAGGTGGTCATCTCTCAGGGTTAAATGTCAAAGATCTCACTGTATCACCTTATAGATAGGAAGCTCTTTTAAAATAATTCACATGGACCCCTTAACTTATTTAGTAAAAATGAACAGATCATGGAATGGGGTGTATTTATGTATCTAAAACTATATATGTAAACTCACTTAGACAATAGCAGCCTATTTTTGTAGTCAGGGGGAATAACTCTTCTTGATTTTGAGTCAATGTATTGTGAAACTTCACAGGTGTTACATGTATAATTTCATATTTATTGTTTTATTTCATGTTTTTTCTGCAATGATTATTTATTAAGTTTGGGGTCATTAAATTTTGAAAATCAATGTCGTTAAATGTAGCAAAAGTATCAGAAAAATTAGTTTTATTACTGAATAATGTCTTTCTCTGATACCTATACATTATTGCCTTGGTGAGAGGGGGATGGCTATCTTTAAATAGTGTACTTTTACATTAAAGTAGGGGTCAGAAAAAAGCTGGACATTTTAATGTCTCAGATTCATTTGGTCATCATCCTTAGAGCCAGAATGATCAACATACTCTTCAGTCCCTTTGGCAGCACACACAAAAACATTAACGTGTGGTTTATGATGTCCTTTTTATGAAGCGTCATGGTCAGTTGGTCCATTAATGTTATTTATAATTACCATCAGCCTTCAAATACAAATGCCTGGAGAAATTTACCAACAATATATTATGGATGTCCTCATATGTTATTTGTTTTGTCTACTCAAGTGTTCATGTAAAAATGAGACAGAAAAAGTATCATTTAAATTCCATCCATGGAGGAGATTTTTCACTAATACAAGACTTTTCCTAGCTTTAGGGAAGGAAAAAGACAATTCTATCCATGGAGGAGATATTTGACATTCTAATATGAGAATTTTCCTAGCTGTGGTAGAGATTTCCTTGTCCCCACCACAAACCCAGGGAGTATATTTAAATATGATGTTAAAGCACTATGTCTTGTAACAGTTTATTTTATGTTACATACCAGTATATTAGTAAGTACAGTGTCATTACTACTATTAATGTTTGTTTTAACAGATGTCATCATGTGTTTTGCAAGTGATTGAATATAACTGATGATAATTCGATGATAAAGACAATTTTAAAGATTTTTTCTCATATACATGTTCTGCTGAAGATTGTTATATATATACTCTTACATAAAAAAAGATACAAAAGGTTTTGATGTTTGTCTTTATATGAATTTAAGATGTAAATATCCTGATTAAATTATTTACAAGTTATATATCATGTAGGTATTATTTACAAGTTATATATCATGTAGGTATTATTTACAAGTTATATATCATGTAGGTATTATTTACAAGTTATATATCATGTAGGTATTATTTACAAGTTATATATCATGTAGGTATTATTTACAAGTTATATATCATGTAGGTATTATTTACAAGTTATATATCATGTAGGTATTATTTACAAGTTATATATCATGTAGGTATTATTTACAAGTTATATATCATGTAGGTATTATTTACAAGTTATATGGTGCAGCATCACAACTGTATGTTTGTATTATGACCTTAAAATCAGATGTTTATAAGACATGGCAATGATATATTGAAATAAACCTTCTGTTGTGATGTTACATTATAGAGGGATCATATTAATTAGACTGAAAATGAAATGGCATGAAGCAAACCTCTATATTTGTACATATAAACTTAAAACATTAAATCGTGAAAATTATGAGAGAAAATCCACCTGGAATGATACAGAAACATCCTGTTTATTGGTAATATAAGTTCTCAACAAATTGATTTTTAGCTTACAATGGTTATCTATACATTACCAATGTTTATATTTGTAGGGAAAAGCTTACTCTTCCAGAACTCCTGGTCTTATTCTCCTTGTACTTTTTCAGGTGTCTCTGTGAATCTTTTTGTTCATATGTTGGCCTGGTTTTATTGCATTTGAGTTTGGATTATGATTATATTGACATGTTGGGGTTTTCGTGGGTTTATTTATCTAGCTATGGTACTGTATTGCTAATGTTATATAAAAATACTTTCATTGCCTTGTTTTGTGTTATTTTTTTTTGGAAGCAAATGTTTAAAACATGAGATCTTCTTTATTTACAACAAATTCTTAATTTTAACCAGAGGACATTGATTCAAAAGTAGTTAAACTGTAAAATATTTACATAAAAATAATTTTAAATTAAGGTTATTTCACAAAATATGGAGAGAAGAAATCAGACCCTGATCTCTGTTATAGAGTTATTAACGGATGAAATATGAAAATGGCACACTGTACATATTATCTATGTTTTTATGTTAATGAGATACCAATTATAACTTACTGTTATATATATTTATTTGCATTTTACTGGATAAAAATTAGGACATTGACTTGATATTTTTGTTATATTTAAATTTCTGATAAATTTTAGAGGATAATTTGAATGATGAAAAGGGTTTTTTTTTTGTAAAATATTTGGTAAAAATAATTTCATACCAAGATGAAGAAATAAACTGATATCCAGGGTAATGTTGCGTGGAGTTCAATCTTTGCAATGAAGTAAACTGTTCTGCCAGAATTGAGACAACAGACAACCAGTTTAATGTAGAAATAAGTTTCAGTGACGCAGATTAAGTTAGATTTTATCATTCACATTATGATGGAATTTGTTGTTGACTTTAATTCTATTTATTGTATGATGTATGATAATGTAATTTGTAATTATACTTATTTTAGTAATATCTTTTGTTGTTGTCATGGTTTTGATATGAGGTTAGGTCGATAATCACGCAGAATGTTTTAACTTCTTACTGCAGTTTTCGGGATTTACCTCCCTTGAATCAATATCCGGATTCACTATGCAAGACTGCTTTTTGTATTAGTTTATGTGACACAGTAAATGTCTCTAAACAAGACAACTATCACATGGCACATTTAGTTAATAAAGACTAATTATTGTTAGACTGTAGAAGAAATGTAAGTACTTGAATTAAACTGGGTCTTTGAGTTATATGAGTTTGAGATAATGGGGTCCGACAGAGAACTTATGCTCAATGTTGAGGTAATATCAAAACCTTAACACGGCTCATTTAATCAACGAAGTCCAATGAATTACCAACTCCATGTCAACTTTTCCTTAAAACCGGTACTAGGATGCTCTTGTTTTATACTAAGCAGGTTTGATGATGATAAAGTCTATTTAATGTGGAGATGTAAGACAAGTGGTGACAATATATGACACGAGTGATAACAAGATGTGACACGAGTGGAATGTGACACGTGTGGTGACCAGATATGACACCAGTGGTGAGTTGACATTAGTGAAAGTGACACTTGTGGTGACAAGATATGACACGAGTGGTGACAAGATGTGACACGAAAGGTGTGTTGTGACACGAGTGGTGACAAGATGTGACCCGAGTGGTGAGTGGTGACACGAGTTGTAACACCGTTGCTGCAACCAGAAAAAAGTTACCTCCTCACTTTGTAACTCTGTCCCATGTGTGACAAAAACAAAATAAAAGCTTAGGCAGTGTAGCTTCATCTCCATTGCCAAGCTATCACTAATTTCCCCCAGTTCTATTCTCCATTGTCTGCCAGTATCAGAAACATTTTGAACAGACTTATGAGCATTCCAATAACTTGCCTGAACGATAATCCTATACCTAAGAACATAACAGTATCTACATACAATGGCAAACAATACAGGAACAATCTTTACAAGAAATGTAAACCACGTCGGCAACACACAAATAAACAACGTCGCCAACACACAAATAAACCACGTCGCCAACACACAAATAAACCACGTCGGCAACACACAAATAAACCACGTCGGCAACACACAAATAAACCACGTCGCCAACACACAAATAAACCACGTCGGCAACACAAATAAACCACGTCGCCAACACAAATAAACCACGTCGCCAACACAAATAAACCACGTCGCCAACACACAAATAAACCACGTCGGCAACACACAAATAAACCACGTCGGCAACACACAAATAAACCACGTCGCCAACACACAAATAAACCACGTCGGCAACACACAAATAAACCACGTCGGCAACACACAAATAAACCACTTCGCCAACACACAAATAATCCACGTCGGCAAAACACAAATAAACCACTTCGCCAACACACAAATAAACCACGTCGCAAACACACAAATAAACCACGTCGGCAACACACAAATAAACCACGTCGCCAACACACAAATAATCCACGTCGGCAAAACACAAATAAACCACGTCGCAAACACACAAATAAACCACGTCGGCAACACACAAATAAACCACGTCGCCAACACACAAATAATCCACGTCGGCAAAACACAAATAATCCACGTCGGCAACACACAAATAAACCACGTCGCCAACACACATATAAACCACGTCGCCAACACAAATAAACCACGTCGGCAACACACAAATAAACCACGTCGCCAACACACAAATAAACCACGTCGGCAACACACAAATAAACCACGTCGCCAACACACAAATAAACCACGTCGGCAACACACAAATAAACCACGTCGCCAACACACAAATAAACCACGTCGGCAACACACAAATAAACCACGTCGCCAACATACAAATAATCCACGTCGCCAACACAAATAAACCACGTCGCCAACACACAAATAAACCACGTCGGCAACACACAAATAATCCACGTCGGCAACACACAAATAAACCACGTCGCCAACACAAATAAACCACGTCGCCAACACACAAATAAACCACGTCGGCAACACACAAATAAACCACGTCGCCAACACAAATAAACCACGTCGCCAACACACAAATAAACCACGTCGGCAACACACAAATAAACCACGTCGCCAACACAAATAAACCACGTCGCCAACACACAAATAAACCACGTCGGCAACACAAATAAACCACGTCGCCAACACAAATAAACCACGTCGCCAACACACAAATAAACCAATTCGCCAACACACAAATAAACCACGTCGCCAACACACAAATAAACCACGTCGGCAACACACAAATAAACCACGTCGCCAACACAAATAAACCACGTCGCCAACACACAAATAAACCACGTCGGCAACACACAAATAAACCACGTCGCCAACACAAATAAACCACGTCGGCAACACAAATAAACCACGTCGCCAACACACAAATAAACCACGTCGGCAACACAAATAAACCACGTCGCCAACACAAATAAACCACGTCGGCAACACACAAATAAACCACGTCGCCAACACAAATAAACCACGTCGGCAACACACAAATAAACCACGTCGCCAACACACAAATAATCCACGTCGGCAACACAAAAATAAACCACGTCGGCAACACACAAATAAACCACGTCGCCAACACACAAATAAACCACGTCGCCAACACACAAATAAACCACGTCGCCAACACACAAATAATCCACGTCGGCAATACACAAATAATCCACGTCGCCAACACACAAATAATCCACGTCGGCAACACACAAATAAACCACGTCGGCAACACACAAATAAACCACGTCGGCAACACACAAATAAACCACGTCGCCAACACAAATAAACCACGTCGGCAACACACAAATAAACCACGTCGGCAACACACAAATAAACCACGTCGGCAACACACAAATAAACCACGTCGGCAACACACAAATAAACCACGTCGCCAACACACAAATAAACCACGTCGCCAACACACAAATAATCCACGTCGGCAATACACAAATAAACCACGTCGCCAACACAAATAAACCACGTCGGCAACACACAAATAAACCACGTCGCCAACACACAAATAAACCACGTCGGCAACACACAAATAAACCACGTCGGCAACACACAAATAAACCACGTCGGCAACACAAATAAACCACGTCGCCAACACACAAATAAACCACGTCGGCAACACACAAATAAACCACGTCGGCAACACACAAATAATCCACGTCGGCAACACACAAATAAACCACGTCGCCAACACACAAATAAACCAAGTCGCCAACACACAAATAAACCACGTCGCAAACACACAAATAAACCACGTCGGCAACACACAAATAAACCACGTCGGCAACACACAAATAATCCACGTCGGCAACACACAAATAAACCACGTCGGCAACACACAAATAAACCACGTCGGCAACACACAAATAAACCACG